ATCACTCGCGCGTATACCAGTGTCCAACATCGGCAGCTCGGATACACACGTACGAAATGTATATATATGTGTGCGTGTATAGGGTGCCTTATCCCACCGACTTATCGGAGCGTAATTAAAAAACGGTGGACAGGTATGGGTATCGTCCCTTTGGCCAACGAGTTTCGGCTCAAGAGAGAACTTATCTCGCCCTTCTCATCAATTTAGTCGGCGCAGCTCCCAATAAACAGCGCCGGCAGTCACTCTTCGTCCGCCGGCCCTTGCTCGCGTGAAACGACCGTCAACCAGTCCTTCTCCCTCCTCCTTCGTCCTCTTCGTCGTGTGTGTATGTGTGGAAGTTTCATTAGCGTTCGCCGAGAGATCTCGTTTTTTCTCGGCCCCCCTCCCTTCCCTCCGCGTTGCGCTTTATGGCTCTTTCTCTCTCGGCGCGTGTGCACGCGCGTCATGTACTTAACGACTGCGTGCGCGGCGTCGGGACCAATGGCCCTTTTTGCCTTTTTCGTGCCGTCGAGAGCGGCTGTGAATCTTCCCTTCGCCCCCAATCCACTTGCGTATAGGTACACGTTGAAAACGTTATCGGTCGAAACGTAATATCATCCATGTGTGCAATGGAAAAACAAAAGAAGTAAGAGGGAAATGTACGACTTACCCAGCGCTAACGAAGCACCTCGTCGCTCGTGCTCGTATATCCTTCGCGTCGTCGTCACTGCCCCGTGTAGAGGAGATCGAGAGTCTTGCCCCCCCCCCCCACTCGTTATTGAACACCAGAAGGGGACGAGGAAACAAAGTATATACAAAGCGATGCAAACAAACTCACTCGATGATCTCGATATCGCCATCTTAGCCCCTAATGTAACGAGGGCACGTGTATACCACCCACCCGTTAAATCTTGAATACTATATGTATAATACGTATGATACACTTTTGCGTTGGGGGTCACGTGATATATCGTCTCTGTGTGTGTGTGTGTCCAGCCTATAATCCTTTCCCCCCTGTACAGATATGATATTTGATATGGAAGAGAAGTCCAAGGGGGAGAGGCCGAGAAATACGATTGTGGAGAATTGCGTGTGATTGGAGTTGGTGCTCAAGACTCGTGTAACGTATATGTAAACTTTTTATTGGAGGTCAAACATTGTTTACCACGCGAAAACGATTTTTGTGGAAAAACACACATGATTACTCATATAAAGCTTTTGTAATGGCTAGTTTTCACCAACACCGAGAGAAAGACCGACAACGAAACCCGCATCATTATACATTACACGCGCAACATCGCGTAACTCATCGCGTGCATTATATCCAGTGGAGGCTTCCATCACCTTGCAAAGTAGTTTTTTGCACAAAATAGGGGAACTTGAGTGATTGCCGTGCAGTTGTTCGTATATATATAGCCAACACCCAGCAGAGCCGCAACGGTACGTGTGTAGTGGGTATGCGCGCGCGAAATTGTGTATACTCGACGTTTGCGGTCTCCTCATACAGAGAAACGGCGGTCACACGAAAATCGCGCTAATGACACGTGAGCTCACGCGCTGGACCCTTTTTTCTTCCGCGCCCGTGAAAGGCGCTGCGTTTGACCCCTTAATTCCTCCCCCCTCTCTCTAGGATCGGTATGTTTTTCTTTTATCCATCAAAGGGGTGGTTTTTTATTTTCTTCCAAAAATTTTTTCTTTTTTTCACGGGCCTGCGGTGCGCGTATAAATCACCCGAGTTTTTATTAAAATAGAGTCGGAAGCACACGCCCCGATAAAAGTAATAATATCCCCGGCGTCGTAAATCTCATTGAGCCGAGGCCTTGCGGTATACGCGCGCGACCCATAAATCCGGCTAATCTCGAGCCGCATTGGCAATCCATGCATGCATACCTATACACGCAATGGGTATCGGATATACGAAAACGCGGAGGCAAATGGGGCCGAAGGGACCTCCTCGCGGATATTTGGGTGTCGCGAGGAACTTATAACTACGCAAAGCGCGCACGAGGAAGCTATGTATATGAAGAAACTGCACCTGCTCAACTCGATGGGTCTCCTCCAACCCCTTTCACCATTTAAAAAAAATCCTCTCTATCTCTTGGTTGAGTTGAGCACGCGTTGTGAGTCCTGCATACTGTTTGTATTATATTGTGTCCTGTACAACGTACATACAGGTATACATGTGCTATGGTACATTCTTTTGTCCAAGTGCATGGACAAAGGCGCGCGTATATCGCGTACTTATGGGGGAGGGGGTGTAGGCGTATGTATGTATGTGGAGTATATGAGGTACGGGGACTTTTCTTCGCGGACCCATTAAACTTGTTCCGTATACGTACAGCCGCATGCAAAAGCTCCTCTCTCTCTCTCTCTCTTTCTTTTGCTACAGCGTTTATGTAACGATCTAGTGATAATATTGTTTCCTGCGCGCGGCGCGACTTGTCGTTTTTCTCTTTTTTATCGTTCCTGTCCTTCTGTATACGTATACTCGCGAATGGTTTACGAAGAAGCTTTTAGACGGTACATATAAGTGTACATGTATACGTAGGCTCATTCTTAATTGTGTTCGATGTACGTGTACACGATATTGAGAGCTTGTAAAAATATTGGATGTAAATAGTCCACAACAACAAAAAAAAAAAAAAAAAAAAAAACAGAGGATAGTTAAAAAAGGAACTATTTTATGCAAGGATATCATCACTTTTCTACTTCCAAATAATATTCCAATGTTTGCACTAGATTATTTACGTTTTCAGTCAGTATAACTCAAAGAAAAGCGTATAAACAAGGGGTTAATAAAAACAATGAAGATACAGGGGGGAAAACAGGTCGCAAAAAACCAATAACTCGGCGTTTTCAGGACGGACTGTCCAGCTTACGTTTACCCGCCCACATCCATATATCCGCATCATAGAGGGAGAAAGAGAAACACACTGCGTGGGCCACGTTACTATGTATTATGTATATGAGCCTCCGATATCTGTATTCTCTTACGCACACACCCAGAGCTCCTCCCTCGCAAACGAGCAAAGCGTGTATTTGTGTGATGTGTGTGTGCACAGGACTCGGGCACGGTAGTGCAGTACATATAATCTTGGGCAAGGACTCGCGGCGTACCTTATAATATACGCCCGTAAAATCTACCGGCCGAGAAGAGGATCGAGAGCTTGTTTGGGACCGTTAAAGCACGCGCCGCTGTCATTAGTGCGCTGCCCTACACACACACTCACATACAGGTTTGCGCGGTACAGATGTTACATATTATATTATATATGGTGCTCGCTGGACAACCGGGGTGGAGGGTATTGGGGGCTACCATACGTAAGTAGCCGAGCAGTCGGCCCCCGCGAGGGACACATTTTCCACCGCCCGTATATTATAATTTATTGTACTCGATGCTCCCTCTCCCTGTACATAGGTATACGAGCACTTATTCCTCCCAGTGCCTACACTCCGACGTTTTTTTCCCAGATAAATCTCCTCCCATCTCCTTTATTTTCCCTCGTAAACGACGCTCTCGTGTAGCACGTGCTCAAAGCACACGACCTTACACGATGCATCTTTCCGTGTGTGCCTGCAGTAAGTGCTCCGGCTATACAGTTTTCCTTTTTGAGAGCAGAGAGTCGCGGGTTTTGTGATTGGCGCTGATATAAACGCGCAAGTGGACGGACGCATAGGCACGCGTATCTCGCCCAGCCTGGACTGTATGCCCATTCTGAGGTCCGCACGTGGAATCGGTTGGATGCATAATAACGCTCGACGACCCCCCCCCCCCGTAGTAATGCGTGCACGCGGAAGTCGCTATAATACGACGATAATGCGTCTAATGGCGCTGCCCCTCTCTTTCCACCCCCTCCTTTACCGATTCAACGGATTCGTTCTTTTTGGGCCTAACGACGGGATTGTGATGATATTCATGGGGTACTTGGACTTTTACGCAGGGCTTAACGGTTGCACCTGTATAAGGACCGAAGTGCGGGTGAATGGACCTTTTTTTCTTTCAATCCTCTTCGGTATGCAATAATGTAGGGAAAACTGTGATTGAAAAACCCCGACACCCCCGAAAGCCAATAAGTCACAACAAAAGGATACAATTGCGAATGATCGTACCGATCCATCCTTCAAATATCAATCGCGACCAATGGCAACGGCGACTAATCCAACGCGCCCACCATCATCATCCTCCCCTACCCCTATGTGTACGGATGATTAATCGTTGGATCGAAGCACCGAAGATACGTAGGTACTCCTCGCTCGCTTGATTTTATCGACAGATACGATCGCCCGTCTCCGCTGCCGCGGCCATAATTTGTCAATCGACTCGCGCGTGATTTTGCGTCCGTATGCAATGTGATACCCGCGGTGCGAGGAGGAGAGAATTGTGGAGTTTAATTGATGGCCCGTGGGGTGATCGGTTATTGGGCGAAGAGGAGCGTTGGCGCGTGAGTTTCGAGTGTGGGTGCGAGGAAAATTTCGGCTGCACGCACACGATCGATCATTCGGTTCGTTTTGAGATTGCTGCTCCTGGTGAAGTGTATGGTAGGAATTTTTTTTTTTTTTTTTTTTTTTTTTTCACGACTGATTGGCCCCTCGAATGTACCTTGATGCATAAACTCGACCGCCAAATCTGCCGTGAGCGAAAAAGTGTACCGATCATCACTCTCTCGCACACGTGTCGGGGATCACGTCGATATTTTATCGATCGCTGGATCGTCAGGAGGAAAAAACAAAAATCACCCAAGGGTGGCAATATATTGACACCCATTTGCGAAAATTAATCACTGTTCCCTCTCCCCTTTCCGCCAATTTGGGCACGTACCCACGTGGAATTGCAACATAAATTACCAACCCAGCGATAAAAAAAGACTCTGCTTCGATGTATCGTAACGATGCACCTATACACAATGTACATGTACATATTATATGATCATTATACATAAATATACAGGTGAAACTGTATGGTCGAATGGACCACAACAACACTAAAGTCTCATCTCTCTTGTCTCTCTTGTCTGTTGCAGCAGCAGAAGGTCCGATTCTGGTTCGCCACGGGTGGCGCCGGTTTCTGCATCAGCAGGGCGCTCGCCCTAAAAATGATACCAGTGGCCGGGTAAGTCTCTCTCTCTCTCTTATTTTCATTCCTCACGCCTGTGACCTCCCTCACCCTTGTTTGTTTTATTTTTCCCTCCTATACACGCTTTTTGCAACCCATCTCTATTTGTCCGTCTCTGTGGGTCCCCTATACACAATACACCACCTACCGTTTCTCGCTCATTTCTCTCCCTTTTGTCTTTTCCTTTTGACTATTCGCTTATTCATATATAATATATACGCGCTCCGCGTCGTTCCTCGGTGCCCCGTGGCACTGCCACCTTCCGCGCTTCTTGACAAATACCTCTTGCACCTCGCTGCGACCTCCGACTGTACTATTATTATTAAAAGTTCCTCTCACGCCTTGGTCGCTTTGCGTCCGCTCTTGATATTGGCTTGACGATTTTTTTTAGTGCTACGCGTGTTTCTAGATTGGCTTCGCACTTGAAAGTCTCGATGACAAGGCTTTGTGAATCTTTTTTAATAAAAGAGTTGCAAAAAAACAATTGCGCAGCGTTTCAAGTGGAACTACTGGTCTAAAAATCATTTCTTTTAACGGAGTGGATATTCGAGAAACAAAAGTGTAGGTCCCGGCTCGCCCGTCTTTCACAAACAGAGGCGTGACACGCTCGAAAACATTAATTTCGAGCTCGTGGCAAAACTGCAGCCTCACCGCGCGTGGGCTCTGTTTGCTCGCTCGGCGTACCCGGATGCTCGGGGACCACACGTTGTCGCGAAAAGTGTCAATTATAATTTAAGACGCGAGTTGGAAGAAGAAGAAAAATCAAAACGTCGCGGTAGCAGCAGTGGTCGAAAAGTCATCGCGTCATCCTCGCAAATGGTCATCAGCTCGAGTGGCCCATTTGACCGAGCACTCGTCGCGAGCTGTTTTCAATGTCCTCGAACGCCGTGCACTGCAGCGACGCGTTTCTTTTCATTTTTTTCTCTTCTTCTCTCCTCTCCACTTCTGAAAGTGACTGTGCCTAATTGTTCGGGGCCCCGAGGAGCACTCGACAAGAGTCCACACGAGCTGCGACACGCCGTACACTTTTATTTATACATACGTACTCTTGTTTGCCGACCGGATTCCTCAACGCCATAAAATATCAAAGTGTACACTCTGATGGCTCATACATATACGTTTTTTTTATCAGATCGCTCGGTTTCATTAAAGATCGAAATTAAATTAGCAATTGAAAGGAATCGACTTGTACCCTCTCGAAAAAAGGACACCGATCCTCCGGGCCACTGTATTATTTATCATCACACATTGGGGAGGGGGGGGTTGTCGATTCGAAATTAATCGCGACGCGAGTCACTTGCATATAATCACGAGTCGTGAGTTTCAGAAAATCATAACGAGGACGTCTTAATTAAATTTCGGTGGATCGATCGCCCCCCCCCCCCTTCGGCGCGTATATGTATATAAGGACGAGAGTAGCAGCGGGGATCGGCGCGTTCAACGTCGTGGGGACCGAACTTTTTATTTTCGGCCTCGCCAGCGCATATTGAGTATGGAAATGCGGACCCTCAAACAATCAAGAAGCAAATATAGTAGCAATAGTAATAAAATAGCACGAAAACAAAAACAAACAGTGCCAAATAATGTACGTGCCCGCAGGTTTTGCGGGAGCCCATTTTTTTCCTTAATGAAGATGCGGCCGTGGACAGCAGAGAGTGGCGAAAAGAAAGTACTTACTTGGGGGGGATGTATGTGCACATTGGCCATAAACCTGCAGAGTGCGTATATGAGCGCGCATGCAGCTCCAAAGTGGGCCCCGAATGCGAAAGGCAAACGCGGAGTAAGAAACCCGATATGAGAAAGAGGGGAATAAAAGTATATCGGGGGGGGAGGGGCATCTGGAAATGACAGCGTCAGCGCAGCCGGCGGAAGACCAAATCGGCGGGGAGAAAGGTAGAAATGAAAATAAAAGCTGACGGGGTACACCCGAAGATAATGATAATAAAGGGAAAAAAAAGGAGATGATGGGAGGGGAGGACAGCACAGCGGCGTGTTCTTCTGCACTTGTTGATCGAACGAACAAGTGGACGACGCCCCGAGAGTGCGTTGAACCGCTGCGGTACCCTCGTTTTCTTCTTCTCCTCCCACCCCCATTTTTTCGTGCTCCCCCTCGCCATCGACCGCTTATTAATCGATTTTCAGCAAAAAGCAAAGATGAAGGGGGGGAGGGAGGGTTCCCTTTGGAGGCTCCAGCGGTGATATTGAATTCATTAGGGCCGTGCCATTAACTTTATGACGTCCCTTCGATTTCTCCCGAGGTATATACCTCGTACCCCGCAGGTATATATACTTTCTTCGTTTTTACGGTGCAAGTCTTTCGTGTGTCGATTTTCAATGACAAATTCAAGATTCCCCAGCATATACGCGTGTTTTGCCGTGAGCCCCGTGTATATTGAGACATTGAAGTATGTATGCATGCAAGTGGGGCATGCATGGAATTGTAAAAAATTTCGTGGCATTAATCAGAGATCGCGGGGATGAATTATAAGGGAGAACCTTCGATGAATTTAACTTTTTTTCCCCTGGTTATCGAACGGAGTCGAGGTCGCAGTGCATATAACACATCTTCTTTTTTTTTTACAACGAGTGCAGTTTCCGTTGAAAAATAATTAATCCACAACTACAGCAGCATGAGGTAAAATGATTTTAAAAAAACTCACGATTCCTCTGCACAAAGCCCACCGTAACGTGTATCATCACCGGTCGGACGATCGGTCAAAATCACCTCGTAAACGCGTGGACCTTTCTCGAAGGCAAAATTTGCCTATCCATGATCCGGTCCCCAAAGTATAGGTATGTACACGCGTATAGAAAATAAAAGAAGGTCCACCGCGGCAAGGGAGAAGAGGGAGATTTATGCCGGCAATCGTCACCGCAGCTGCTCTGCGCTCCCCGTGAACACCAGAGCCGAAAAAGGAGTCACATGCGGCACCGGGACCATACTCCTTGTACATGCATATATATGTATACCTACGTCGCTTCTGGCAATTAAAATTCCCGGGGCGCGGGCATAAATATACACGCGCTCCCGAAAATCCGAGCGCGGCCCCGTCTCTTCTTCTTCCCACTTCGTAGCGGCTTCCGGAATATCTCGGCAGCCTCTCGAGCGTGACCCTCCTCCTTCTTCTACAAGATCTACATACCTACCGTATACGTATATAAGACCGTGCGAGTATACCGTGACGCATTGTGGAGTATATATACGGTGCGACTTGAACTATGCGAGAAAGGATGTGTATAGGTATATACAAGGAGGAGAAAGGGAACAACGTGAGAAAGAATCGCGAGGAAGACACTTGTACGTAGCAACTCGGAGCTAGTTATAGGTATACTGTACGGCGTTGGATGGATGGCATAGAGCCGTGCGTGTAAGAAAGGACCGACTACTGCGCTCGCCGGAGCGTAATAATTACCGCTGCTGTAGCACATAATATACGGTATATACATATACAGGCGCATCCGGAGCACACTTGTGTAATTGCGTATACGGCACGATGACGCCCACCATTACGCGAACCCGTCGTCGCTTACCCCCATCCTCCTTCTCCTCTATTCCAGGGCTCTGTATATCATGTCCTAGGGGCTGGACAAGCCTCCCACAAGATAAGTTTTATTTCACGGGAGAATACTCGGGTGCGATGGGTGTAACGCGTACAAACACCTGTACTTACTTCTGGTACATGGCTGATGTATCAACTCCTTGAAAGTAATGCACGGGGATGGACATTACTTGGTCTAACGGAGTAATCGCGAATGTGGTCGGATATTCCAAAATATGTTCGCCGTTCACCATATAATGGAAAACTTTGGGAAAAAAAGGTATACCGAATCTCAAGGATCATTTCCATGAAGAATTTTTTTTGGAAAAAAGCCATAGATCTTCGGTTAAAAGTCCAATTAACTCGTTGAAATTCCACCGGGCGAGTGGATGCGAGACGCAGGTGCTCGGGCGAGAGAAAAGAAGCCTCCGATCGGTAAAAGATCGAAGGAGGGAGGAGGAGGGAGGAGGAGGCCCCAGAGTCGAATTGAAATGTTACCTGCCGCGGTATAATACTTCTCACTGAATATCTCGCGCGCTTTCCCACCGTAGCGCGAGCAGAGAAAGACTTGGCGCTCGTTTGTCCCTCCGTTTCATTAAGCAAAAGGGTGGACGGAGAGAGAGAGGGGGGGTGCGCGTGCGAGAGGATCAGGAGCGCGAGAAATGTCGCTCTCTCGGGCAGAGAAGAATTCAGCGTGCGCGGGGAATATCACCGCTCGGGGATCTCTTTCCTCTGTCCGCTGTGGGTTTAGAGGCCGACGAGAGGGCAGTTCATCTTTCTCCTTGGACACTGTGCGAGGATTTTCCGATTTTTATTGGGCTTTTCAATGAGACTAAAATGACCGAGCCCTCTCATCTCGGATAGCTGATTTACGGCCACAATTGGGGGTACCGGTTTAGCCAAGAATTCAGGAAAAACCCTCGTGAATTTCGCTACCATCGCAACTTTATACCATACACAGGGACTAATGTATACTTTCGTCAAAGTGACAAAGCCTCGGTTCGTCACAGTCGCGGTTTCCTCTAAAAAGCCATATAACACCTAGCACGGAGCCATTAACGCTTCTCGCTAAGTATACGTATATACCCCCCGTGCACGACCAAAGCTTAAACTGCCAGCACCTCTCTCTACGACGACGCAACTCATTATTATACTCGCGTATCAACTCACCTGTGCGTATAAGGTATATTAGCCGCGCCAAAGGGCTCCGTTTAATGGCGTAGCGCATCAGCGTGGCGGAGGCCCCTCAGCGGTGGGTCTTAATTAGTCCCTGGGGATTTTAGTTTCTCACCTTTCCCCCCACTCCCCCCCCTTTTTTTTTTCTCGTCAAGCGTTAACGCGATATATTCAACGGAGCTTGACGAATCGCGCGAAATCTCGATTTCTTTCTTTCTTTTTTTTTGTTTTTGTTTTTCGTATATGAAACTTTTCGTACATGCTACACGTGCATAGGTGAAA